GCCCTTCAATGAATTCTTAAGTACGTGTATACCCAAGTCATCACTACCCAGATCAAGATACAACACATTTCAGGCACCCTGGGAGCCTCTCTTGGGGATCCATCCTGAACATACCCTGCCAATCTATCACCACTTATTAGTTCTGCCACTTTCTGAACTTCAGATTCTTTTTATTCTCAAACAAAAACGCATAAACACTTACAGGCTTTAATCACCGGAAACGGCCTGTCTCAACGAATGCTATTTTTGGCCTCTGCTGTTCCTCTCTGATGTGCACTCCATGTTTCTTCTGCCCTGGGAGGTCTCAAGCCCCACCCAAAACTTCTGAAAATATTGCAAGAATGAATGAAAGTTATAGCTAGACCAATCTTAAATATAATAAATCTTACATGAAAAAAAAAAAGTCATAGCTGCGATTGAATGGGTGGCCGGTGGAATGGCGACGCGACCAGTTCGTACAGGGAACTGCTGATTGGACACTCACGTGATAGGGGACGAGCCTTTCCAAGCAAGCGAGGAAGGTGCGGTAGTGTGACTAGATGGCCCTGCGGGGCAGCGGCCCGCGGCGTCCATTTTGCGGGGCGGTCACGTGAGATGACGCACGCTCAGCGGGACGCTCACGTGACCGGGGGCGTGCTGCAGCCGCCGGGGCAGACCCGGCGAGAGGCGGCGGCGGGAGCGGCGGTGATGGACGGGTCCGGGGAGCAACCCAGAGACGGGGGTGAGGCGGGAGGCAGACGGGCGGGAGGAGGGCGAGTCCCTTGCCGGCCGGCCCCACGATCCTGCCGGCCGGCCCCACGATCCTGCCTGCCGGTCTGAGGCCGTGCGATCTCTAAGCACTCCAGGTCAGAAAGTCCCTGATCGGGCGCTGCCAGCCTCCAGCCCCCTCCTTCCCGGAGGTTCCCCAGCTCTCTGGCCCTCGCGCCCCGATCCCTTCCTGCCTGGCGCTGTGGGACCCCTGAGAAGCTGCAGACCCCAAAATCCAAGCCCCCGGGCAAGCCCGGGCTTGTCGCCGGCAACCACTTCCTGGTGGGAGGGGCGGGTCTCCCCTCTGCCCCCTCAGGCCAGGATGCTTTAAGTGTTCCCTCAGCCTCGTTTATGGAAGAATATATGATACAAGCCTAGGCTCCCCGCCTCTTTCTCCATCAGGGACTCAGTTGTCCGGGCCCCTAGTCACTTCATCTAACAGGGACTCAGAAATCCATGGCCCCTAGCATTGTCCTCCCTTAGGGCTCATGAACCACCCCAGTTCCCCGGGTGCCCTAGGGCCCAAGAGTCCAGGCACCTCTTCCCTCCTTTCTCCTCTAGGGCCCACCAGCTCTGAGCAGATCATGAAGACAGGGGCCCTTTTACTTCAGGGGTGAGTTTGAGGTCTGATTATTGCTGAGCGGATTTGAGGAGTGATGCCTCATTCTGATTCTGCACCCCACCCCTCCATTCCCACTGTAGTTTCATCCAGGATCGAGCAGGGCGAATCGGGGGAGAGGCACCTGACCTGGCCCTGGAGCCCAGGTTGCCCCAGGATGCATCCACCAAGAAGCTGAGCGAGTGTCTCAAGCGCATTGGAGATGAACTGGACAGTAATGTTGAGCTGCAGAGGTGTGGTCCCCGGGACCCAGGAGTCTAGCCACTGGTCCATTGGTCCCTTTACCCCTCATAACCCAGGAGTCTCAGCTCCCAACCCCCTCTTCCCCTACAAGCATGGAGTCCGGGCCCACAGCCCCCATTTCTTTCAGAACCAGGGATCCGGGGCCTCACCACTCAACTCAGCACTCTACTCCCAGCCCACCCCTCCCCTAGGATCTTGAAACTGTCCTTCATGGAGTCATTTTCTCCAGTTTCCTAAATGTCCATCTTGTCCCTTTCTCCCACATTGGCTTCTTGCTTTTCATTTTAGTGTGACTTGGGCCTCAGTTTCCTTATCTTTGCTATGGGGTGGATGCATGAGTTTCCACACTCTGCCTGATCCTCCCTCCCCATCTCCTCTTTACTGCAGGATGATCGCAGCTGTGGACACAGACTCCCCCCGTGAGGTCTTTTACCGAGTGGCGTCTGAGATGTTTTCCGATGGCAACTTCAACTGGGGCCGGGTTGTCGCCCTTTTCTACTTTGCCAGCAAACTGGTGCTCAAGGTGGGCAGCTGCAGGGCAGTGAGACCAGGGAGACTCCCCTCAGACCTATGGGGACCTGGGAGTCATGAGATCAACCCCTGTGGCCGCCCAGAGGGAACAGAGAGAGACAGCTATGGGCCACTTGTCTGCTACTTGATTCATTTATTCATTCAACATTTATTGGGCCTACTATGTGCCTGGCCTGTGCTCGGCACCAAGGATGCAGCACTGAACAAAGCTGGCTAGGTTCCCACTCTGATGGAGCTCACATTGAATGACGAGTGCTGAGAAGTAAGCTAAGGCGATGTGATTGTGTAAAGTTATTAGGAAAGGCTTTTAAGAGGAAGTGACATTAAAGCCAAAGCTGGAAAGGCAAGAAAGATGCAGTGATATATAAGGAAAAGGCATCTGGTAGAGGGCACAGCAAATGTAAAGGCCCTGAGGCAGGACCAGGCCTGGTGTTGAAGGCAATGAGGATGCCCATGTGGTTAGGACATAGGAGGGGGCAAGGGTAGGAGATGAGGGAAGATTGGAGGGGTCTTGTGGGCCACTGTAAAGACTTTAACTTTACTCTGAGTGAGATGGGAGTAATTGGCTGGTTTTAAACAGGAGAGTGAGGTATTTATAAATATGAAAGATTCTAGCAAGTCTAGCAAAATGTTAATTGTAGAATCTTGGTTGCAGGTGTATGGCTGTTAACTGAAATTCTTTTAACTTTTCTCTCTGAAGATTCTCATGATAAAATATTGGAGGAGGGGAAGCCCAACAAATTGTTCTGGCCGGTGTGGGTAGAAAATGGGGGCAAAAGCTAAGAAGCTGGTGAGGGGGCATCTATAATAGTCTCTGCAAACAATGACTGACCTGGACTCGGGTGGTAGCAGTGGAGGTAGGAAGTAGATTTCTTGATATATTTACAAGATTGAGCTGAATGTTGGGGGTTGAATATTGCAGGTGAGGGGGACAGCAGTCAGGATGATGGTGGGGCTGCATATGGTTTTGCGGACAGCAGGAGGGGAGAAGCAGCTAGATAAAGGGTGGGAAGGGAAAGTTCAGGGAGTTGGAGGGCAGGTCATGGCTTTGGGAGATGTTGGGTCACACCTGGTCTGAAGGTCAGAAGAGCCCTCTCTGGGGAAGTGACATTAGACCTGAACTTTTTAAGGGATAATTGAAAATTCATTTGGTTGAGGCCTATTTAGGCAGAAGAATCAGCATGTGCAAAGTTCCTAAGGGCAAAGACAGGTTTGGTGCGAATGAAGACAATAAAAGAAAGTCAATGAGGCACAGAAAAGAAGCCATAAATTGGATTGCTATTAAGTCAGAGCCTTCACACAGGGCCTTGTGGGCCAAGCTATGCCTTTTGGTCTTTATCCCAGGGGTACGGGGGAGCCATGGAAAGTTTGTGAGCAGGGCAGTTGACAGTGACAAGATTCAGTTTACAGTATATGAAGCTCATTCTGACTGAGTGGCAGAGACTGCAGAGGGGGCAGGAGGGAAGGCAAAGAATTGAGAAAGGAGGCTTGGGGCTACTATCCAAAGGCAGTGCGGACAAGATTTAGCCCCTAAGGCCTACCCTACTCCCTGCAGGCCCTGTGCACCAAAGTGCCCGAGCTGATAAGGACCATCATGGGCTGGACACTGGACTTCCTTCGAGAGCGGCTGCTGGGCTGGATCCAGGACCAGGGTGGTTGGGTGAGGCCCCTAACTCCCTCCCGCACTCCTCTGGGACCCCTAGGCCTTCCTGAGCCTACCACAGTGGTTCACCCCCTCCCCATTTTCAGATCATCAGATGTGGTCTGTAATACATTTCCTTACATGTCTGATCCACCCCTGATTCATGTGGTACCTGCTGACCTCTCTGCGACCTCTGACCTGGTGACCCATGACCTCCCAGTGACCCCTGACCTGACTAGTACCTTCTGCCTTCCCTGGTGCCTCCACTTCCTCTGGAATCCCTCAAGTTTTTTGATAACCCTTTGACCCCAACTCTTTAGTACCTATTAGTCTTAGGCTCTTGCTATCATGCCCCCTGACCCTCCCGATTCCTCATGTACTGGCCCATGGCTGAATTGCTGAAGTGACTGATGTCCCTGTCCCCAGGATGGCCTCCTCTCCTACTTTGGGACACCCACGTGGCAGACAGTGACCATCTTTGTGGCTGGAGTACTCACTGCCTCACTCACCATCTGGAAGAAGATGGGCTAAGGCCACCAGCTGCCTTGGACTGTGTCTTTTCTGCATAAATTATCACATTTTTCTGGGAGGGATGGGAATTGGGGGGCCAGGGGCATTTTTCTTACTTTTGTAATTATTGGGGGTGGAGTAGGGAGGAGTGGTCTGGAGGGGGGCAATAAACCTCTTTTGGGCCACACTTCAGAGTCTGAGTCACTGGGCCCACTCCCTGGCTGTCGCAAGAGACCAGGCTTCAGGTTCTGACACCTCTTTTTTCTGAGGGTGCCTGGTGCCCTCTGTGTTAGTGATGAGCTAGGTCCCAGTTCTGCCCTCCAGGATCTTGCAGTCCTGAGGGGAATGGAGGTGACTGGAGATCACAAGTGTCACAACCTAGGGTGTGGTATTGGAGCCAGGGGCTGGAAGGGAGTGGGGCAGAGAATGCTGCCTGGGAAGCTAGGGCCTGGACACTCCCACCATATGGGAAGTTGCACTTGACTGAGGTTGAGAATGGGGAAGCAAGGGAGGGCCCTGGAGCCCTATGGGGAAGCTACGGGAGGTGAGGAGGCTGGGACAAGAGGGTCCAAGGGAGAAGACCAGGTCAGAAACTGTGGGGGAGGGGCTGGAGAAGGAGCTCTGGGGTCTGGCCCATTAACTGGGTGGGGCCCTCTAAGAGGAGCAGACCCCCGGAAGATGCTGAGTTTTGTAAAGACCTAGTAGATTTAGACATTGAAGGGGAATCAAGGGTCAGAATGAAATCTTGGAGTCACAGGGTTTGTTGTCCCTTTTCTCTAGGTCTCTATCTTTCTAGGTGTCTGTCCCCCTCTGGGTCTTTCCCCTTTCTCTATTTCTGTCCCTCTAAGACTCTGTCTCTATCCTAATCTCTCTCAATCTCTGTCCCTCTCTTTCTGGGTCTTTTTTTTTTCTTTTTTCTTTCTGGGTCTTTTGTCTTTTCCCATATCTCAGGATCTTCCCCCAACCCTAAGACTTCTGTCTATCCTTCAGATCATCTTTGTCTCACCCATTCCTCTACCTGTGAGCACTTTGGAAGCCACCTCTCCACAGGGGCCCCGAAGGCTTTAAGGCTAAAGGTCTTTAGGCTGAGGTTTGAAATTTGGTGAATAAGTAACTCAGGTCCCATTGTGACTGTGTGCCTGGAGCATCTGCCCCTCCCCCAAGGACTTGCCCCAGAGACACCAAGTCTGGGGAGAGATATGACAGCCAAATAAGATAGCAGTGAGGGGAGACTGAGTCACTGCCCAGAGGGGACAGTATGGCCACAGGCAGCAGCCCAGGAAAAATATCCAGGGTACTAGAAAGACAGTAAGACAGAGACAAAGCATGATCTTGGCGGCACTTTGGGGGAGGGGGCCAGAGTTGGGTTTGAGCCAGCCAGGCCTAGTTCCCAGGGTCTCAGCCAGACTGCAGTCCTCTGGAGGAGATGAGGTCAGTGAGTGGCCACACCCCTACACCCTTCTGCCTGAGCCCCTTCCTGTGCTGAGTTCAGCATGACTCAGCACACAGGCTCTCTTGGCCACTGGCCCAGATACCCCTTGAGGACCCCAGACACCAGCCTGGCCTCACATCTGCCTGCTCAGGAGGCACCCTGCCTGAGCTGCTTATTGTGGCTCCACTGCAAAGCAGGTCCTGACTGAAAGCAGAGGCCAAAGGAGAGTCCAGGGCTCGTGCCACCTGCGCCACTCAGCCAATAGACCGACACAGGAGTTGGGTCATAGAATAAGCTTTTATTATCAGAGCACCGGTGGTCTGAGAAGGCAGCTGGTTATCAGCTCCAAAAACTGTCTTAACATTCTCAAACCAGCTTGGAGTTTTTAAGGGAAAATCTGGGCATTCCTCCAGAGGCTACCTGACGGGTTCCGGGGATCTGCATGGAGCCTTCCCTGTGGCCACGTGATTCTATGGTGGAGTCAGCAACCCAGGAGCAATGATGGGATTAGCCTGGTAGATGATTGAAATTGTGATCAATAAGCCTAAGGGTATTAATCATAAATTTCAGGGTAATCTTTCTAAAACGGAACTAGGTGGGACAGGGGACATTCCTAGCTCAAGCTGCAGGGGGATGATCTATTATTAAGCTGTAGGTAGGTCAAGGAAAGGTGAGGCTGGGGACTCAGAGAATCCTCTACTGTGGGGGTGCCAACCGGGCCCTGCTTCATGACCTCTCTCCCCCACCTTGACACCCCAACTTACTGGATGCCTCCATTAGGGCACTTGAATAGGGTCAAGTTCCTATCCTTTCTCCCCACAACAGGGTACTCCTTGAAGGCTGAGTCCTGGTTTGAGCTAGCTTTGCCTCCCAGACCCCATACTGGACCCGGCACACTTTAAAAATGTACTTTGGTTGAAGACAGACATCCTGTCCACAGTTCCCCAGATCTTCATTTCCCCAGGATCCAGGGCTTCTCTTTGTGACCCAGAAGGAGCACATGTCAGGCAAGACAGGGACAACTTTGGAGAGATTGGTTCAGAGCCAGAGAATTCCCAAAATAGTCCCCAGGAAACGCAGCCTCTGAGACCCCAGAGCTTGAGTATCATTTCACCCCTCCCCATCTCAACTCCCAGAAAAAACAATGAGCCCCTAAAATAGCCCCAAGGGTATTCCAAAGGTCCCAGACTCTTTCTCAAGGGCTCTCCTAGACCCCCTACCCAAAAATAAATAAATAAATAAAGGGGGGGGGAGCCCTAGTATGCTCCAGAAACATTCCCCCACTCCTGGGGGGTGAGCCCCAAGGCTCTGGAACAACTGCCTTTTTAATTTTGCAGATCACCTGAAGGGCCTAAAGACCTCCCCCAGGAAGTTTCCAGAAAAATAGGGACTTCCATTGTGAACGTTAAGGCTACAGAAATGCCCCCACCCCAGGGCTCCCCTCCAACCCATCTTACAGGGAGATCCCAAGGTTCCAAAAATATGATCTCGCCGCCTTCCAAACTTCCCAATGATCTGGAGCCCTCTCATCTCCCAGAGAAGACCCTAGTAATCTGGAGGCCTTTGCACCACCCTGGAACCCTTAAGTCTCCAGAAAATTTCATGCTCTCAGAGACAACCCCAGAATCCTACCTACTTTCCTGAGACACCCCCAGAATCACCATTTTCCAGGGCTCCCAGTGTCTCCATTAATCTTTCACCTACAAGATAGACCGCCCCGCCCCGCCAGAATCCCTTGACTACGCAGAATCAGCCCCAGACCCTCGCATCCCCTGCACTTCCCCATTCCCCATTTCACAACAGCCTCAGCAACAGGCGCGTGACTTGCCCCCACCTTCGGGGCGGGAGTCTGGGACTCCTATCTGCTCTGGATTGGTCACTCAGGTTCCAGGCCCCGCCTCTCGCCACCGCAGATTGGTCCGTTGCTCTCTCCTCTAGGTGCCCGCCTGCCATAAAAGAAGAGTCTCAGCCAACGCCTCCCAGTTTCCTCGACTGTCCCCCGGATCTGTCTCTTGCTTCAACAGTGTTTGGACGGAACAGACCCAGGGACGCCCCTTCTTCCAGCCTCCGACCACCCTCCAGCCTCTTTTCCAGTCTCAACCTTCGGAACCAACTCAGCCATCCTCGGCCTCCGAGACCAGCTAACACCGTTATTTGAGCTTAACTCCTTACTGCTGAGCAACCATGAGCTCCCAAGTTCGTCAAAATTATTCCACCGAGGTGGAGGCCGCCGTCAACCGTCTGGTCAACTTGCATCTGCGGGCCTCCTACACCTACCTCTCTCTGGTGAGGGTCCCCGGGACGCTGTGGGCCTAAGTTTCCCCCAACTGCGCACCTCCGGCCCTCTGCGCACGCGCTGGCCGCCTTTGTCCTGTTGGGTAGTCTGAGGGCAGAATATCGCCTCTGGCCTCGCCTCCCTCTAACTATTGTTCCCGCCATCTCTTCTCGCAGGGCTTCTATTTCGACCGCGACGATGTGGCTTTAGAGGGCGTGAGCCACTTCTTCCGTGAGTTGGCGGAGGAGAAGCGGGAGGGTGCGGAACGTCTCTTGAAGATGCAAAACCAGCGTGGCGGTCGCGCCCTCTTCCAGGACCTGCAGGTAAATAGTGTGGGCAGCAAACTACACCTCCCAGGAGTCTCTTCGAACGAGGCGCCTTGACCCTAGTGGTTTGGCACCGAGTGGGCTTCTGGGAAATTTTCAGTCCCTTGTGGGTAGAAATGGAGGCGCAGCCATTTTTAAGGCCGCAGCGTGGTCTCTTGGGGCTCGTAGTTGTAGGATACTGGGGGTGATGTCTGTTAGGCTAGGACCTTTACCCCTGCAGCTGCTGTGGAAGGTAGTTTTAGTCTTTGTGGGTTATGTGGCCAGGTCTCAGTTGTCTCTGTCTTCTGTATATAGAAGCCTTCCCAAGATGAGTGGGGTAAAACTCAGGATGCCATGGAAGCTGCTATGACCATGGAGAAGAACCTGAACCAGGCCCTATTGGATCTGCATGCCCTGGGTTCTGCCCGCGCAGACCCCCATGTAAGTACCCCCTTCATCCATGTCTACCCGTTTTAAAACCTTCCTTGGAATGAAGCTTACAGTAAGCCACGGCCACATTTGGCAAATTTCCTTCTGAATCTCAGTCTCCTGTAATACTGTTAACTACAAGTGGCAGCATTTTCTCTTCTTCTATCACTCAGGTCTGTGACTTCCTGGAGAACCACTTCCTAGATGAGGAGGTGAAACTCATCAAGAAGATGGGAGACCACCTGACTAACCTCCGCAGGCTGGCCAGCCCCCAGGCCGGGCTTGGCGAGTGTCTCTTCGAAAGGCTCACCCTCAAGCACGACTAGGAGCCTTTGGAGCCCAGAGGCCTTTGAGGGGCCCCTCTGCATTCCCCTGGCATTGGGCTTATGCCTGAGCCTCTCCCTGAAATAGCTAGGCAGCCTTCTAACCACCCCGGGGCCCTCTCCCATACAGTGGACCAAATTGAAACAATAAAGCTTTTTGCAGCAGCCATTTTTTGTGTGTGTCTGTACTGTGTGAAATGATGTGGGATCTATTTTTCACAAGGGTAGCTGGATTGGGAGGGCATGGAGCATTGTTGGCCCACCTCCCTCTCTCCTGTTCTAAGGCATGATTGACTTCAGGGAGGGTCTAATAAGACCTGGGGCTGGTGGCCAGGTACTATGCAAACCTGAAAGGAGTCTGGCTCAATCCATGGAGGTTAACTATTGGGCTGTTGGAAGTCATGACACGTTTTCAACAAAAAAACAGGTCACGGCTTGTCCAACAGCCCAATAGAATTATCAACCCTTTCATATGGGTGAGTTAAGGCTATTACTATGTAAGTTGCCCATGGCAACCAGTAGGTGTACCCAGATCTCACCTGCCTTGAACACTGCCACTCTGTCCAATTCAAGGCTCACAATAGGAAGAATCCTGGATCTGAGGGGCTTAGAAGCATGTGATGTACAAGAGGTACTGAGCTAGGGGTTTGGGGCTCAATACAGAATGGGATGTGAAACTTGGGGCCAGATCATCCAAATGAGAACTACAGCTTTGAGGATGACTTAGGCAGCTGCTGGGTTCCAGTTACAAAATGTCAACTCGACCTCCTACCCTTCCTTGTTCTTGGTAGAAGAATCTAAGAGGAAGTGGCTGCTTGGACACCTGTTCTTTTGTCCACTCAGCACCATGCTTCTGCTGTCACCACACTTTGGTGGTCACTCGTGGTTCTCACAAGGGAGTGGGCTTGTAAGTCTCACAGTGGCTAACGGGAAGGATGATCACATCAAGTCCAATTGGAGCTTTTTACTCCCCTGAAAAGCACTTGGTTCAGAGATGCACCCATGGCCTAGAATTCAAAAGAAACAGACCCCCACCCCCACCCCCGGCAAATTGAGCTGTCCAGAGAACAGCTGTCCAGCAGAACTTTTTGCAGTGATGGCAGTGTTCTATGTGCTGTCCAATAGGGTAGCCATGAGCCACATGTGACTACTGAACACTTGCTTATGGCTAGCGCTGAGGAATTTAATTTAGAGAGCCACACATGGCTTTGTGTGGCTACGTTATGGATCCTTTTTCCAGTGACAACCACTTTCTGCCAGAGACCTTGAGCCAGGTTTTTGCCACTTGCAAGTAAGATCCCAACTAAACAAGCCAGGTTCTTTCCCTTGAAATAACACAGAAGAGCAATCCAAGTCTCACCATGACAGCAGAATGAGACAAGGGATCAGGGACCCAGGGGTGGGCAGGGGGAGGAACAGAGGAGGCCAAGAAGAGGGAGGGGCCAGGTTAGAGGGCCACCAAGCCCTCACGTCGGACCAAACCTGGGATTCTTCAGTAGAGATGTATTTTTCATCTCCGTACACACTTCAATCATACCCTTTCTGTTCCCACCCTCCCAACTGCAAACCAAGTGCATCAGATACAGCACGGCACATGTGAGGGGTCCCTCCCTTTCACCACAGCTGAGGGCAGGATACAGCTTGGGGATGGAAGAGCCTTGAGGTAAAAATGGAAGTTCTAGAACCCAGTGGGCTCAGTTCTAGATCAGGGGAAGGAGAGCAGGATGCAGCATAGTGGTAAGGGTCTAGATTCAGCAGCCGGGACCTAGAACCCAGTGGTTTCATGGTGGGCTTGGAAGTTGGAGGTTGTGGGAGTGGAAGACAGCCAGTTCTGTCCTCAGCAGGGGGACTCCCTGGAGAGCACAGGAGTCCTGAGATCCAGGGGAAAACTCACTCAGGGAAGTAGGGTCTGGTCCAGTAAAGGCCAGAAAGGCATCTAGACCAAGACTGCATTTTCTCCAGTAGGAATGAGAAGCCAAGTGGTTCTGCCCACTCTTGCTTGGCCAAGGTATGAAGAAGGAAGCAGGGGTGGAGGGGTCCTCCAGGCAGAGTCAGATTCCCCAGGGAGGGCCAGAACAGAGTAAACATGAGTGCCCTATCCTGGAGCCCGAGCTCTGGAGTTGAAATGGAGGACCTTCTGCATTCAGTTAACTCAAGTCCTTAAAAATGCTCCAGCTCTGGACTTGACTGTTCCATCAGCAGGAACACCACATGGTTTCCAGGGCTTGCTGGCCCCTAGGCCAGGCCTGAACAGGGTGTGCTCTGTATGCTGTGGAATTTTCAAGCCAAAGGGCTCTAGGAGCCCCAGCCTGGAAGGCAACAGGCCAGCTTTCCTAAAACCTCTGGCACCATGACAGGGTAATGGCCGATTCTTGGCCTTTCAAATCCAGGCTAGGCCTAGAGTGACTCCTGGGCACCGATTATGTATTCTGGAACCCAAGAAAGGCACAGTGTTGTGGATTCTGGAGTGTTGGGGATTTCAAGAGTGGAGCTGGAGGGGGTGGAGTGTATGGCACAGGAGGCGGGGTTGTGGACTCCACAGCAGGTTTGGGATCTGGAGTGGGGTTTAGGAACAGCACAGTTCTGCACCCACCCTCTGGATGAAGGAGGTAAGGTGGGAGAGGAGTGTGGGGTAGGGGACTCAGTTGCGCTCCTCGCCCAGGGAGCTGGCGGGGCTGAGGGGCTCGCTGGGAGTGCTGACTGAGCTGGAGGGCGCAGTATCCACAGAGTTGCGCTTGCTCCCGCTGATAGAAGAGCAGGGGGAGCGGCGTGGCCACTCCGGGGCACGGATATTGCGCCGGTCCTTGGCAGCCTCCTCTTCCTCGTCGTAGCGCTCGCTGTCTTCATTTGGCGTCCTGTCCTGGGGATCCTCCTCATCCTCGCTCAGGTGAGGGCTCGAGTGTCGAGATAGTGAAGGCGATGGTGGCACCGAGGCTGGCCGGGGGTAGCGGTAGCCCTGGGTCTGTGTACGGGAGTGTAAGCACAAAGAGCAAAGTGACTGGTGGTCCCTAGTCTTGCCGAGGTGTCCACCACCCACAAGGCCTTCTGATTACAGGAGGGAAACCCATCCCCCCAGTCCAGCCCTGCAGCTCCTAGCCCACTCACCGCATCAGCCTCCTGGGGCTCGTAGGTGAAGTGTTCTGGAAAGGCCTTGGACAGCGCCAAGCGGCGCGCAGACATATAGTACTTGGGGAAAAGAAGGGGAGGGGGCATCAGGGGTCGGGAGCCTCCCCCTCCACCAGTAGATGTGGAGGGGGGCAACCCTGGCCGTACCTTTTATGTAGATAAGCACACTCTGCTGCATCTTCCCTAGGCCCCTAAGCCAATTATCCAATTTTTCTGGCTCCACCCCTTATGTAGATAGGCAGAGCTGTGAATGGACAGTCTCTGAGGTAGGTCTCTTTGGCCACACCCTCATGCTAATAGGAGAACTTGATACGAATATGATCTTCCTGCAGAAGTTGATTAATTTCTTAAAGGGACAGTTACAAGTAAGAGGAGACCATGCCCCCAGCACCAGCCTTTGAGACTCAGGAACCAGAGAGCCGGAATCAGAAGCAGCTGATTCACCAGCAGAGGACAGGAAAAAGAGTTTTACCCGGCCTAGGTATTTCCAGTCCAGAAGGTCAGAGAGGCGTTCAGTACGGTTCCGCTGGATGATGCGCTGCCGCCTGCTCTGCTGGCAGAAGCTGTAGAGGAAGGAGGTGAGCTGCGAGCAGGAATCATCCAGACTGCGGAACCGCCGGTCCAGAATGTAAATGCCTGTGAGGGCCAGGATGGGGACTCAGAAAACAGACTGGGGTAACCTTCATTCTTCCTGGGACTCTGTTGCACCAGGACCCCTCCTCCCCCTCAGACCCAGGAGTCCACCCCTTTCTCTTCTCTCTTAGTGACCCGAGTCAACGCCCCTCCTCTTCAAGATCCAAGAGTGCTGGCTCTCAGTCTGGGTGCTGACCGTAAGCTGAGGGGTCTGCGATGTGTTCCTCCATGAAGCAGCCGAAGCCGGAAAGGTTGGTGGAGATACTGGGGATGCCCATAACCGTGCACTCAGCTGCGGGAAGGCATGAGAAATGCACCCTTAGCTTTTCCTTCTTTGCAGGCCTTAAGTCGCAGTAAAAGCATCAATGGTGCCCTTTAGTGGCGCTTTTACCAAGGGGTGTGCCCTGGACTGATTTAAGTGAGGCGGTCGAAAAATCAGGCTGTGCGTTACCCGATTTATTATAGTACCTATTTCTTAGAGGGGAAGCTATGAGGCTCAGAAAAGGGAATTCACTTGCCCCAAGGCGTCGAGATGAGGAAAAGTCTATAGTTGGGTGGTAAGGATGCTAATTTATTGAGCTTTGGGCCAATGTCTACCATTTTACTTAATCCTCACAGCCTGTAAGATATGTTCTTGGGCCAGACCATACTGTTTTGGTTTTCATAGCTTCATAGCCTGTTTTGACAGGAGGTAAGAAAAGTTCTCTTATTATTACTATTGCTGTGTACAGACCAAGTACTTTGCCTTGTTTACAGTCTTAAAAAGCATTGAGAAATGGTTCAAGGAGTTGATTATAATTCTTATACAATGTTTCTAAAAACCTCTGTAGGCTGCAAAAGTAGGCATTAAATATAACAGGACTTATGGGGAATATAGGGTAGGGGCTGACCACACAAAACCAATGCACCATTTTAACCATGGATGAAACAAAATTTGCAAAATTCCTAACTATCATGCAAGCACAGTTTAAAAGACTTGTTAAATTACTCATAAATTAAGAAATACTACAGCAAATGTAGTATTTATTTGGCCTTAAAAACATATGAAAGTATGGTGCAGCCACTATGGAAAATAGTATGGAGGTTCCTCAAAAACTTAAAAATAAAACTACCTCATGACCTAGCAATTTCACTTCTGGGTATTTATCCAAAGAAATCCAAAACACTGATCTGAAAAAAATATATGCACCCCAATGTTTACTGCAGCGCTATTCACAATAACAATAGCCAAGACATGGAAACAACCGAAATGCCCATCAATAGACAACTGGATAATGAAATTGTGGTACATTTATACAATGGAGTATTAGTCTGCCATAAAAAAGAATGAAATCGTGGGCCGGCCAAGTGGCGCGTTGGTTAAGAGCTGGCTTGGGATGCCAGCTCTGAGCAGCAGGGCCCTGGTTCGGATCCCACATGAGGGCCAATGACACTGCGTTCTGCAGCTAAGATGGTGAACAACAGTTCGACGTGGAGCTGGGCGGTCATGAGTCACCAGTGACGGTGTAGTCTGCATCCCTGCTGCAGTGGGCTGCCATAAGCTACCGTGTGAGGCTGGCAGCCAGCGTGAGCGTCTGGCAGCCCGTGTGAGCTGCCAAGAGCCGCCGTGAATGGCCGTTCAGAGGCCGGCGACCGATCTGTCTCACCCAGGAAGAGCGCAATGATAATACCAATATGAGCCAGTGAAGCAACGTCCTACACAACTAGACTGAAGAACAAAAAGACAGCAACTTGTTTGTTCCCCTTCCCCCAATTCCCCAGCACTGTTCCCCTGCCCCAATTCCGAAATAAAATCTTTAAAAAAAAGAGAATGAAATCTTAACCATTTGCAACAACACGGATGGACCTAGAGGATAGTATGCTAAGTGAAATAAGTCAGACTGAGAAAGACAATATCATATGATCTCACTAATATGTGGAATCTAAAGAACAGAATAAATGAGCAAACAAAACAGAAATAGACTCATAGATACAGAGAAAAAACTGATGGTTGCTAGATGGGAGGGGGGTTTGGAGGGTGCAGGAGAAGAGGAAGGGATTAGAAAGCACAAATTTGTGGTCACAAAATAGTCATGGGGATGTGAAATACAGTATACAGAATATCAATAATGTTGTAAAGATATTGTAGGTGTCAGATGGGTACTGGACTTATCGGGGGATCACTTCAAAGACTGTGTAAATGCCTGACCGCTGTGCTGTACACTTGAAGCTGATGTAGAATAATACTGAATGTCAACCATAAATTAAAAAAAAA